GAGGGATATAAGTCTTAAAGGATGAAGTTATCAATTATGAATGAACAGTGATGAATAAACTGACAGTACTGAACATGAAAATACCGTATTTGCACAATATATCATTGTGGAAATGTTATACTTTCCTCAGGTGGACAGAGAATTGAGCCAGCCTGGTAAGTTGCAGAGCAAAGAGGCCAATTAACAGACGTGGCCTCTGCTTTCTTGTTCTTTCAGCTGCTCTGTTTAAATATTGTTGGGCTGACAAAACGTGAATGCTGCCTGAAAGTCAACCATATGCTCCTCTGTTGGCAGGTGCAGGGACTGAAACCATCCAGTAGTGAGTAAGAAAATGTATAATCATTTGTTAAGCAATGAGTACAGGAAAAGTCGGTGAGTAGCTAAGCTAATTTATGCAGTGAAGATGCTATAAGCTTATGCTAATGTTAGCATGTTTTATACAGTTAGTTCCGACCTAGTCTCTATANTAATATAATATAATGTAATATATATATGTTAAATATATAATAATGTATATAATACATAGTTATACTGTGTAATAATGCATTTCTATCTTATAATTATATTGTGTAATATTCCTGTGCAAATTCCAATATTTTCCACTTCCTGTGGAATAATATTTATACATTTCTATATTTTTACAGTAAAAATACTACACATCATGTGTATTACAATCATCCTGTGCAACGATCAATCATGAGCATACAGTATCTGTTTCAGTGAAAGGTGCATAGATTTTCTATTATTTTAATTAGGATATATGTAATTTGTAGGCCTATTTTTAAAAAATGACTCTGACACTGAGCTTTGAGCTGTTGTAACGTGTGAATTTGCCAGGTGTGGGATTAATAAAGTGTTATCTGACCCTAGCTGTTAACACTAAATTTTACTTAAAATAACAACATATTTAGGATATAAGGATGTAACTGCATATGATGTGCTACATATATATTGTAAATCGATGCAGTTATTGACATAGACATATATACATAGACGCCGCATCGACTGCCTGAGCGCGTCCTCGCCGGCCGCCATCTTGGATGGGTCTCGCTTCGCCTCCACAGTGCATTCACTTCTATTGAGGAAGGAGCTGTATGCACAAGTAAAATAGAATAACTCGCTGAATTTTCAACTGATTTTCACGCGGTTTGGTTTGTTACAAACGGCACACATATAGTTATGATACAGGATGCTTT